CGCCTGGGTTCCTTGAAGAACCCCGCGCTTGGGGTCAAGGGAACCCAACGCCTGGGGTTTGAAGAACCTAGGGTGTGAATGGGAAGAAGGAGAGAAGATAGTGATTTTTGCAGGAGGTGGGCCCCACATTTTTTTTTGTTAGCTGAAATTTGACGTGTTTTAATGACATGGTATTGATCTGTAATAATATTTTAACATGTCATCATTTTCCGTTAGTTAACTGGACACATCATTGAATTTTTAATGGAAGGACCAAATCGGGGTAAAAATGGTAAACAGTAGGGACCAAATCAGGGATTTTTTGAGTTCAGGGACCAAATCGGGGGTCCGTACAATAGTTGAGGGACCAAAAAGGGGTTTTAACCAATATAATAATATATAAATATAACTTCACTATAAATATTAATATAAAGAATTAGAGCAGACATATTGATATAAATATAAATATAAAAGTCATTAATGGAAACACATAATAAAGAAAATATAAGTAGTCCTTCATCCCTTGTTCAATTAATTAAAAAAATCAAATAAGATACATTTAGTCACTATCACTCTTGATTAAGTAATTTGGAACTTCTTTTTCCGATGTTTCCATTCCATCAAACTCTTCCTCTTCATCATCATCCTCACCCACACATTCTTCCTCTACCACATATGGCAATTGCATGATCTCACTAATCACCACTTGTTCTTCCCCTTGAGATGCTAGTGAAACATGATCATTTAAAATAGTCGAGGGTTGCACCAATTGTGGCATAGAAGGATTATCATCTTAATAATAAACATTTCTACCATCACTCAACGATGAAATGTCAATTATTGCTCTTACTCTAATCTTACATGCAGCAAACCACCATTTTCTACAAGGATTTTGAGATGGGTAACGGGCATAAAACACTTGTTGAGTTTGACTGGCCAATATGAATGGTTCATCTATTTATAATTTAAACCAAGGATTTATGTCAGCTATACTAGATGTCAGATGGACCACAATGCCTTTGTTGATATCATACCACTCATACTTGAACAAAATCGTTGATTGATGAACATATGAGTCAAAATACTAAAGCTCAATTATTTCCTTCAAACTCCCATAATAATCTGACTCATCATTAAAAGTGGTTCCTTTCATACAAACACCGCTATTCATGGTTTTTTTATTTTGTCCATATGCGATAGTATGAAACCAGAATCCATTAACCCAATAACCATTGTATACCCTAACATTATTGACTGGGCCAGTTACTAAAGGCAAAAGGCGAGAATCAACCTCATATCTTCCACTACGCACCTAGATTTGTTATAAAAATATTTAATATTTAATCATAAAACATATAAAAATTGAGATCTTAATAATAAAAATTGTTAAAATAAATTACTTACTATTGTCTTAAACCAAGGAATAAATTCAAGCTGCCGTTTGATTTGAATTTGATTGTCTGATAGACCGAAACATACTTGATAATCAAAAAGCCTACATGAAGAAGTTGGAGTAAACAATCTATACATATTAGTAACTTAAACAAATGAAAGTTAGAACTAGAGAACATACGCAATCCATGAATTAACTTTTTCACAATTAAGCAAAACATAAAGTTTTACTGCCTTTGATTCTTTGGGTGGTAATGCACGCATATGGATTTCTCCACCTAGTGGTTGACCTCGATGTTTAAAGATAGACAAACAATTATCCATATCATCATGCACGCCGACAATGTTTCTTGGTTGACGATTCAATCTTGTCTCTATGTTAGACCCAAAATAATGCAAGCAAAAGAAGGTAATTTCTGAAAGAATATTAGACTTGCAAATCAAAGCTTCAACACGATTTTTGTTCAACACTGTTTTCTTAAGGTCATGCATTTTTCTGTTAAACAAATAAGAAAATTAATTAATAATATTAAATTATTAAATATGCTCATGAATGTTATTGTGATGCAAAGATATATTAGAAGAAATATACCTTTCAAAAGGATACATCCAATGAAACTAGACAGGTCCTCCAACTTTTGCCTCATATGGTAGATGGATAGTCAAATGCTCCATCGAGTCAAAGAACGCTGGCGGGAATACTTTTTCTAGCTTGCAAATGGTCTCAACAATTTTTTCCTCCCACATCTTCATTTTACTTACTTGAATAATTAGAGCAGTTAAAGCTCTAAAAAAGTTAATAATCTCAGTTAAAGGACCCCAAACTTCATCTATGAGGAAATCACGGAAAGCAATTGGTAAGAGACACTACATGAATACATGACAATCATGGCTTTTCGTCCTAAACAATCGAAGTTCCTGCATGTTAACACATCGTGCTATGTTGGATGCATACCCATCTGGGAATCTCAATTCCTTCAGCCACTAATTGATAAGAGCTCGTTACTCTCGAGTAAGAACATATGTAGCATTGGGTTTTATAGCTATTCCATCATCTTGAGGTGTCAATTCTAATTCAGATCTATTGCAATATAGTTGTAGATCCAATCTAGCATTGGTGTTATCCTTCATACAACCCTTGTCATCCATGACAGTATTTTTAATGTTATCTAAAAAATTCTTTTCACAATGCATGACATCAAGGTTATGACAAATCAATAAATCCTTCCAGTATGGCAATTCCCAAAATATATTACGTTTCACCCAATTATGAAAAACACCAAATCCTGAAATTGAATGTTTACGAAGTGGCTGGAGAAAGACTACGTCAGGGAGCTGATTAACCCTTTCTTCCATCAAAGTACCATCTAGTCTTGGGGAGGACGACTTTTTTCAACTCTATTGAGATAAAAAAAATTTTTATCTCTATGAAATGGATGTTTAGGAGGTAGAAATTGACAATGAGAATTAAAAAATGATGTTTTCCTCCCATATTGAAGTTGAAAAGCCTTAGTGTTCTCCATGCAATAAGGGCATGACAACTTCCCATGTGTGCTCCATCCAGATAACATGCCATAATTTGGAAAATCACTTATAGTCCATAGCAATGCAGCTTTCATGATAAAATTCTGTTGCTTGAAACTATCATAAGTTCAACCTCATTTGTCCACGGTTCCTTAAGTTCATCAATTAATGGCCTAAGCATGACATCAATGTTTTTTCCTAGATTTTTAGGTCTAGTAATTATCATGGCAAGAAATATATACTCCGACTTCATACACAATTTAGGAAGAAGGTTGTACACTGTAAGAAAAACAAGCCAACAAGAGTAAGGTGTTGCAGAGCAACCAAATGGATTGAAACCATCTGTACAAAGGCCAAGTCTAACATTTCTAGGTTCATCAGCAAATGTTGGGTGGGTTTCATCAAAGTGTTTCCATGCCTCACTACCCGTAGGATGAATAACTTCATTCGCATCCTCACGGCATTTCAAATGCCATGTCATGTGCTCTGCTGTTTTCCTAGACATGTATAGTCGTTGCAATGTTGGGGTAATTGGAAGGTACCACAAAGATTTCCTTGGAACATCTTTTTGCCTTATAACAAACATATTCCTCGGTTCATAACAGGATTCTCCACACACTGAACAAGCAGTTAAATTCTTACTTTGCTCATCATAATACAAGAAGCAATCATTGACACAAATATAAATTTTCTTGTACCCAAGTCCAAGCACATTTATCATTTTTTTGGCACTGTAGAAATCCTTTGGCACCTTTTCTTGGTCTTCTGGACTCAACAACTTTCGACTCAATGACAATGCCATATCCCAATTAGCAGCACTTATATTATAAAGAGTTTTCATGTTTAGCATTTTTGCCATCCATGAAAGTACTGTAACATCTTATCCCCCAACACCTATATGAACTTCTGCAGCATGCAAGAGATCATAAAATTCTCTTGCCTTACTATTTGGCTCCTCAGCCATTGACCCCTCATTGTATTTAGACTATGCACCCATTGCATCAACTACCATTTCATGGTATAATACATCTACCTCATTTCTAACAAACTTTATATTAGAAGATTCCCCTTCAAAGTTTCTTACTGTATTGCTAGATGTCTCTCTATAAACATACCATGTATAATAGTTATTCATAAACCCATGCTTACACAAATGCACAAAGACAACCTCAGGATTCCCCCATTTTCTACATTTACATTTTGAACAAGGACACTTAATCTTTGATTTTGCTTTCGGTCTCGAAAATGCAAATCTCACAAAAAAATGCACCCCCTCTTTAAATTCATCGGTAACAAAACCACTATCATCTACACGATGATCTATCCAACTACGGCCGTCCATCATTTAATTACCTAATTTCAATTTGACAATGTATATTAACATATCAACTAATAACCATACATGTCAATAACCACACACGTTAATCTTAATCTTAATAATTTTAAATTAAATTTCTTTATGTATATAAATTCAATATATAAAAATACTACTATATTTCAACAATCATACATATATTAATCTCAATATAAATAATTTAGTAACTTTATAAATATGAATATATATTAAATATAAATATATATTAAATATAAATTGTACTCTAGTTTAATTACCATACTGATTTTAATCTCAATAATTTGAAATAAACAATTTGATATATAAAAATTCAATCTAAATATCATTCTAGTTCAATAATAATACACATCCCAATCTTAATATCAATTTCTCAGATTGAGCTAATTTGAAATATATAACAAATTTGTAATTATAGAAATTCAATATAAATATCACTCTATTTCAAGACATTTAGACCTCAATCTCAAAAATGAAATTGGGGTCTTGTAAACTCAAATCCAAGGAAAAAACAAGGAAAGAAACAACA